TGGCATTGAGAATGATGTCTGGTGCCATGCCTAGTACTCCCTTCATCGCACTGAACCACCTCACTAACACTCCAGATATCATACTTTTCCTGAGAGGTGAAGCAGCAAAGGGCACAGCCAGGCTTCAAGCATATGGAAGCCTAACCCTCGAAACTATCGCCCCCAGAAAAGGTACCATCACAACTCATACCACTATCAACAAACAATTCATGGTAGACCTCAACATACCACCCAAAGCAGAGAGAGACCTATCTATACCAACCATGATGCTTGAACGCAGCTTCACGGTCACCACTCCTGGAGCTGACAACATTGAATATAGAGGCTCACTCCAAAACACCATCGACAACATCCCCAGTGAAACCATCACCTGCTACACAGACGGGTCACGCACAGACTCAGGTAGCGGGGCTGGTTATATTATCACCACAGACAACAACAACACTACACTAGATGAAAGATCATTCAAGCTTCCTGATTATTGCACCGTTTATCAAACAGAACTCACTGCCATCATCGAAGCTTGTAAATATCTATCAACTTACACAAACACACATATCATCATATGGTCAGACAGTCTCTCCTCTATTCAAGCTATAACCTCAACTTCAACGAGGAGTAGAACTACTAGAGAATGCTACGACACCCTCAATACACTCGGATCCACTAACACCTTAGAGATCAGATGGATAGCAGCACACATCGGATTGTGGGGTAATGAAAAAGCAGACGAGCTGGCCAAAAATGGCACAACCAGTGAATCCACTTTGAATTGCCCAATTCCACAATCTTACATTAAACGCCTGATCAACGACAAAGTCACAAAACTTAATCAAGAATCATGGATTACTAATGGTCCCAGACACACTAAACTGACACTTGGACATAAAAACATCAACATCATCAAAAATCTCAACACTACACTCAGTAACAACAGACAAAATTACAGAACTGCAGTGCACCTCATCACGGGACATTGTGGCCTCAACAAACACCTACACACCATTCACAAATCAGACACAAGTGCTTGTCCTAAATGCGGCGACGGAGAGGAGACTGTCTCACACTTTCTCGGACAGTGCCCGGCTATTGCCCAAATAAGAGGTCAATATTTCCGGGACTACTACCTCTCTGTCAATGACATATTCGACAACCAACACATCTCCACCATTGTCAACTTTACAAACCACACTAAACGCTTAGTGGTGCCGGAGGAGTTGGACCAGACAGGTGTAACATAGCGACTACTTTAACGCCGTCTTGTTTTGCCCCTCTCTTCCACACTCAACCACCACTTAAGCGTTTATCTATGACACACCCCACAACACTTACCATCATCCATGATTACACATCTTGATTCCACTGGCATCCTCCCACAGGACTGCCATACCCCAGAGGTAGGCAAAGCATCCATATGCTATCCTCTCGTGGGCCAACCAGGCCCAGCCTCTCTTTTTAAAAAAATTTAAAAAAAATAAAAAAATGCTTTCGTGATCTTAAAAGAATTGAAAATAAATATCTACCCTCCGAACGTTCTTCGTCATCTGATGACACCGGTTTTTCCTCATCCTTCTCTTCTAAAGTGTCACCAAAAGCAGTAACGTCCAATACCAGGCTAGGGTCTGAAATGATGATTTATCGTCATCTTATCGTTGAATATCTTCGCATCATGATTCCGCCATATTTAACCGACAAAATTGCTGCAAGTAACGTAAAGATTTTCAATTTTGCTTAAAAAAATATTACCATATTTTTTGCTTTGAGCAGATTTACTTTCAGACTGATGGAAGTCCTCAACGTTAAAAACAAGATTTGTTATGACCAAGTTTTTGTCTAAAATTTCTCCAATGATAAATGTAGCTGATACGTCGTCTTGACAGAAGAAAACACAGAACAAAGACAAAAGGAAATCGCGGCACGTGCGGAATCGCGATTTTTCCCATTCTCCGCGACAAATCGCGATTTTTGACGTTTGCAGCGACAAATCGCGATTTTCTCAGATCCTCGCGACAAATTGCGATTATTTTAGTTCTCCGCGACAATCCGCGCATTTACCTTTAAATCTGAGGACCAAATTTGCGCATTTTCCTTTAAATCTTCAGACCAAATATCACTTATAAGTATATGGAACCACATCCACAGTCTTCCGAATGTTTGTACGGACTTCAGAAGCTCATAATGATCAGGGTAGCATGAAACATGAACAAACGTAGTTTCCAGAAAATCTTTGAAAAAATTTCGACTTGGAAAATTTTCGGTCGGAGTAATTCTCGATATAGGGGTCGTTCACATATTACGTAATCAATATTTTGGCAATTTTTACCCCCCCCCCCCCCCCCTCCGTAATCAACCGTAATCAAGACCGAACCCCCCCCCCCCCCCCCCCCCCCTATATTACGTAATCAAGGTTTGTTAAGTGACATTGAATCATTAGATTTGGAACCATGAGAACATTTATCAATTGTTAAGACAATCTATATATAATACGGACAACAGCTCATGAGGGTAAAGGAAATATTTCTACGAACATAGAGATCAGGAATGTCTGCTTTATACTCGGACGATGAGGCCTCGGTCCCCACAAAAGATAATCTTTTTAAGGCTAGTAGTGCAATTTGTGTAAAAGAACTCATGGTCAGTCTATAAAACACATGAAAAGCAGTTTGCTCCATACCCCTTAGTCTCTAGCTTTGTTATCAAAACACGTGATTCGATGACGTGATGTTATCTCATTGTAAACAGGGTTTATTTGCTTGATTACGTGCAGTATGGTAAAGTATTAAGTTTAACACAAGTTAACTAATAATATTATGTATATGAATTATGAGTATAGATTCGAAGTGGAACATCGAGTTCCGTTCTGGCGAGCTGGGAGAAACTTTTGAGATCGTCTGGAAAGGCTGATCTAAAAGCAAGCTCTGATCAGTATTTATAGCTAATCTAACTAGACTAACAAGCTAATTAACGAATATATGACATCTAACTTTGCTCTGCAAATACATTATCTTTCGCCGCGATTTTCGAGATTTTGCCTAGTTTGGCATGTCGCGGGTCCGCGATTTTTGGCCTAAATAATCGCGATTTTCTGTTGTCCTTGACACAGAATAGAAGGAAAATTCGACAAACTTTTAATTTTGAATGATCGAATATTATTCCAATTATTCAACTATTCGACCGGTTGTTATTTAGTGGCCATGGTGAATATTCCCACCGCGTCTGGATGTTATCTGACGACAGCGACGTTAGTCAATTAGTACTCTTGACTTATCCCAATTAACAGCATCAATATTGATGCCGAGTTAAAGAGACACTCTTGATTTTAATGAAACGCTCGAGAACTGGCCACAGTGGTCGTTGTCTCTTGACACCACTTTAGAGTTAGAGGGGTTCCTGCTAATCTTACTGCAGGGCGAGTTGAAAATAATGTGTGGATTTTAAATGGCTCTAATTTATGAGATAAAATTAGAAAATCACTCCATTTTTGCATATTTAATTTATATTTTATATATTTAAGCGAGACGATATATATCCGTACCATTTTACTGACACCACGGCATCAACTTTAATACGACTTTCTGCAAAAACCGTAAAAGATATACAACTTAAACTTTTTTGATTGGTTCAAATGCTTTAATGGCCTTCAAATCAGCATGAAAAAATAAAAAATTGGCCAAGGAATAAGAATTTTAGTGCCCCAAAACAAGCTGTTTTTACTACCTAACTATTTCCGCAGTTCAGAATATATTAAGGACATGCTGTATTAATTTACTACTTACCAGAAGATGGCGGATCATCTTTTAAAAGTCGACATTGTTCTGAAAGATCAACTTTCTCTGTACTCATATTCCTACTTAAAAATACAAAAAAATCAAAGTTAGCAAAGAATTGAATAATATACTTTATGTCGTCAAATACGAGGCTTTGGTGGCGTTGAATTTTTTAGGGCGATCGTGCGCTCATTTTAATTAGGTGTACCACTCAAAATCACGTTGAAAGTAGACCTACATTAGTTGGTGACGATAATTAAAATACGGATTTGTAACAACTTCTGACCTTGAGGCAGCTAGGTGCACTTAATGGTGCTATTTAAAAACAGTCTCTTCGAAGCCATATTTCGGACCGATACAAATTATCAGTCCCTAATGACCACAGTAAGAGTAAGTTAAGTTTATCATGTTGTAATCAGCTGCTAATATTAATATGGAGAAATAATAGATTTGATTTGCTGCAGAACCGTTTGTGCTGCAGCTGAATGGCTGCAGGGTTTCCAAATCGGGGCATGATTTGCACGTTGCTGCAAATGGTGGTATTAAAGTGTCAGTATAATTCTCAACATATGGAGAGATAAACCTTTTTCTTAGGAATTTTTAGTGACGCCTTGTAAGCACAGACCCTGCACCGAGGCAACGTTTAGGTGCGGCCGGTGCAGGCCGGTGGCTGAAATATAAAAATTGGCGAGGAACCATTTTAGGAGGAAAAATTGGCAGTATACTTTTAGATCTATAGTGAACAATCGCGTAGTTTTACCATCGTGATACAGGTATTAATTTACCTCCCAGCGGTGAGACACCGCTTCCCTCCATCGCCATGTTTGAAGCTCTCCCATCATCTGTTCTACTTCAGAGGGAAGTCATTTATTTTTTATTTTAAAATTGTTATTACGGTATAACAAATAAATTTTCTAATCGTGTAAAAATCGTGTAAATCGTGTAACAATTTTTGAGCAATTTTGCAGCCATGAACCAGAACCACGTTATTTTATTATTATTATTACATTCTAGAATACGTCTTTATTTTCATTATCCTGAATTTATTATAGAGTGTGGTGATCATGAAAACGAGTGGATGTTGAGTTTTTACATTAAATCTTAAGAAGGTTCTTCCTTAGAGACCGTTATTTTGTGACCATTCATATTCAGTGTTCAGTCTTCAGTCATCAGTGTTCAGTCATCAGTGTCACTTCAGTGTCAGGAGTCACTTCTCAAGCAAACATTTTTCAGGTAAGCAGTACGAGTATGGTGGAGAGATCAAATTCAGGGCCGCTTTGGAACAGAAAATATCTGAGCGATACCGAGAAGGAAGTAAGTAATTATCTAATTAATTCTGGGTTATAGGACCGTGCCATACTAGGGCGTAGGACACAAGGGCGTTACTTTTCTAAAAGGGTGGACACGAGGGCGAATCACATGATAAATTTTACCAAAAACCGTTCTAAATGATAATTAAGTGAACACACCTCATATCAGTGAAATTTGTCAGCCCAAATTAAATTCCTGTCTTTGTACGCACTGATCTAAACCCGGGTAACCGTAGCGTCTGCGATATTCTGAAGACCAAGTTTGTCACATGAACATCTAGGCAGAGTTTGATTGGTATAAGCACGTTATCAAACCACAAAATCTGCTGCTGAGATATTTAAGGAAAATCTCTCAATTTGAGAGGAGACTTTAGTCTTGGTGGTTATTTTTCACACTATTCTTGTTTCAAATTTACACGTGAGTAGATCCAATTCTTCGAGCTAAGCCTTACCTCAACCAGACTGTTGAAACCCCGTTTTTCCATGTTAAAGTGATTCATGTGATTCGCCCTTGTGTCCACCCTTTCAGGAAAGTACCGCCCCTGTGTCATCCGCCCTCGTGTCCGGTTCCTGTTATAGATTTAAGTCTAGAAGGATACCGCTCATGGCTGCCAGGGTGCGCAGTGAAATTATTAAGAATGTGAAATTATTATCGCCTACATTCAATAACATTCCAGTATCCGGATGTACAGTTTTCACATTTAATGTATCCAAATTATACTGTTGAAACGAATTCCTTTATTAACTAACAAACATTTCAGATTACACTCTGCCTCAGATTTGTATTCTTATTGAAGGTGGTCCTAACTCTATCAAAACCCTTCTGGAAACCGTCAAACTGGGTATATGTCGAGCTGTGATTTTTGTGAAAATATTATACAGCATGCAGTGTATATTACTGAAATTTATTAAGGAAATGGACAAAGTCGTCCAATATTTACCGTGAGAGTCATATCGAGATAATATCGTCTCTCTGAGTCTGCATCACGTGATATTATCATGTTACTTATCACGTGACATTATTTTCAGGTAACCCTGGTCTAGTGATAGCTGGTTCGGGCAGATCAGCTGATGTTCTAGCTGAGGCGTATCGGCTCAGTTCACCCGAGGAGGCCATCGACAAGAATGGGTGCGTTATACAAATGACCTGATTTATTTTTATTTTTCTTCGATTCGGTGAAAAGATTAAGTATTCTAACGTTTTACTTTTTATCTTTACATAAATTTGAGCAAATTGACTAGAAACTCTAAATAATGATCGTCTTAACCACAACCAATTAGTTAATTGATTAAATAATTAATAAACCACATTTCAGTGATAAGATAACGATACGAGTGTTATCAGAAGTCAACACAGAGGATCTCAATGTGGTAGTTAGTAAGAAATTCCCAAATATGAGACCGGAAGACAAGGATAAGATTCACCGTGAGATTATTGAGCTTCTCAGTTACGATAAATTGGTGAGTGGTTTTAGTCGGCAAACAAAAATGAGAAATTCTCGTTACCCTTTTAATAATTGTCTGTTGACATTTGACTTGTCAAAGGGAGGTTTAAATCAAAATTTGTGTTTAAAACGATGAAAAAACATAATTTTCCGTCCCCCCTTTGTTGTTTACATACTACCTTTTTAAGGATAATTGTCCGGACTCTGGTGGCTACGATATTTCAGTGCACAGTGTACACCTGTTGAATAATTCTCAATAATATACAACACAACCTTCACTTTCAAAGCCAATATCATTGAGTAAATTCTCAGTCTATTGACATCCTTAATTTCAGCTAACGATATACGAACTCAACGACTCAAAGGAGTTTGATTTGGCGTTGTTAGCTGCCCTGATACGGGGAAATAAGGAAGGGACATCTTCCTTAGCCTCCATGAAACTTGCCATTACGTGGGACCGACCTAACCTCGCTTATTCTTTAATCCTTCCTAGTTCAAAGTTCTCCGTAAGTTTTGGTTACGAAATGAGTTGCATTTTCTTCTGTTCATCAGTATTCTGTGATATCATTGCCAATCTTTCTGAAACTTTTATCTGGCATTTATCATTAGTGCTTGTTACTCTTATGTTACATTATCTACACCGAGTTTGCATGCTACAATTTAAAATAATTTGAGATTTTTTAAGAGCTCTTTACCCAAAGTAACGAATTTAAGAAGACTTTTGAGCGCTAGCTCTGCAAGACAAAGTTGCAATAAAAGTGCATGTTTCAGCATTTAGTGTAGTCGCGCGGCGCGCGCGCATTTACCACATGATAGCAACTAAACATCACATGTTTAAAACAATAACCCTAAAACTGGGCAAAAATTTTAAAATGTTCAATTGATAAGGATTCTCAAATTAATCAATAATTCGATTTTCTCTTCTGAGATGGACAATTCAGTCTTTTTTATTATTCGATGAAAGTTTCAAATCAAATCAGCTCTACACTGACTACTAACCGTACAGTTCTTGATGCGTATGTACACAAATTTATACAAATGTATACACTATACACATAATACACAAACATGTATCACGACGTCTAGTAATATGCAATTGAATCACCAATTCGTTTTTAATCAGGAGAAAGAAAAGTCTGATTTGTTGAGGATTGCTATAGTTCAGAACAAGCCCGTCTTCATCAAAATGATGCTGGAACAGGTGAATATAAGTGTTTCTTCCCTAAGTATCACGGTGGATTTATTTAATAGATATTTATTTGTGCTCCAGTTGTAACACTACAGACTGTTAAACAAGAGTCGAGATCTGGAGGGTGATATTTAAAACATATAAGTGATACGAAAGATTGTATTAGCAGGAGCTTTCAAAATACTTGTGTAAATCGTTTTCAACTGAGGATGATGTTGTGAAGAGTGATTATATATGATGTAGTGGTGTCAATGATGAGTGGTGTGTGACGTGAAAGGGTGGAGTGGTGAGGGTGGAAAAAGTGTTCAGATTACATTACAGAATCGATAATTTACTCACCACAATTATTGGATACTTGGATTGATACGTTTCTGTTCAGGACCTCGACATGAAACATTTCCTGACTCACGAAATGTTGGCGAGCCTGTATAACGAGATTGATAACACGGTCGTCTGCTTTAAAACACTCAGGAAAATGAGCCAAGGAGGAGTAAGTTTATATTCAAGTTTACTACATTCTATGTCCAAATATGGTCGAGCTTATGTTCACGTGTCAAAACAATTATGTTTCGTCTTCCCAACAAAATCCACATCAATTCATTGCAAGTTTGCTAAATTACATCAATCATTATATTATATCGATTCATTTTTACATAATGAATTATCTTGTTAGTAAATAATTAACATAGCCATTTAATTAACGTCTTGCTAGATATCCTCATTCCAGCAGGGAATAAAAAACAAAGTAAAGGCGAAGCTGTCCCTAATTCACATAGGAATGCTGCTGGAAGAGATCTTGGAGGGTACCTTTCAGAGTACCTTCACTTGCAAGGAGTTTAAGGATAACGAACTGGACATGCAATCCAAACCTTTTGAGGTGATTTAGATTTGTGATCTATTGCTTTTCATATGTCAGTTTGGAGATGGTTGGCTTCTTTTGAGTTTAGTAACAAAAATGTTTAAAACTTGTCGTCTGATAGATACGTCTTTCTTTTCAGAATCCTTATGATGTGATGGTTTTCTACGCAGTTTTCGTTGAGTCCCAAGAGATGGCCAAACTATTTTGGGAGCGTTCAAGAACACCCATAGCAACAGGTTTGTTTTTTAAGTTGTTGGTAAAATCTCATTTGAAAATTATTACAAAACACCTAGTTCGAGTTTAAGTGAAAAAACCAAAAGTAAATAAGAAAATAACAGTACCGGTGAAATGCAAAAAGTTAATTTTATTTTGGAGTAAACTATCAATTTCTCAGGTCTCATTGCCTGTAAGATCCTCAAATTCTTGGCGGAGACACAGAGAAATAGATTGAAGAGAGACGAAGAAAATGAAAGGAAACTTCTCGAATATGCCGGGTATGTTTTGTTATTTGTGATATATTACCATATTAGAAGTCGTAATACGTGCATAATGTTTTTGTTTCTAAATAAATTGAAATATTATTTTTTAACGAAGGTATAAACACTTTTTCAATATCCAAATTATGAAACATTGTATTTTTTATATATGTTCTAAATTCTAAAAGTCAGCATAATCAATTTAATAAACGTTCTCAACACTAAAATAAAATAACAAAACAATCAACTAGCCAATTAAAAACCAATTAAGTATACAGCAATTGCTAGTTGATATTCATAAATATCGTTATTGATTCTTTCCCCAGCGAGTTTGAATCTCTGGCTGTTGGTGTTATGAACCAGACCTTCAAGGATAGGAATCACCAGAAGGAACTCTGGATGGAGGTCCTGCTTATAAAACACATGTGAATATTAAAAATATTAAACCGTGAAATATGGGAATTATGTGAAATATGTGAAATATGTGAAATATTTGAAATATGTGAATATGTGAAATATGTGAAAAAGTTGCTTCGCCTTTCATTGTCGAAAAAACAAAATTTAAACGCTCATTATCAACAGGAGTTTAGGTAATCTGGATTTGGTACAGTTAGCATGTACAACAGAAGCTTCAAACTTCATAGCTCAGGTACGCACATTCTTGTAATAAAGCTTACAAATTCTTGGCAACATTCCCACTTCTTATTTGCAATTCAGTCTCTTCAATTGCCCAAATTTCACAACATTCCAAGAAGCTCAAAATACTTTTGATCTCAGGGAGCAGTTCAGACTTTGTTGACCGACATTTGGTTAGGACAAATACACGCAGCACAACACTGGGTCAAGGTCAGTACATGCAGGCCTATCCAGATAGTATAATCTAGATATTTAAAAATAGTAAATTGAATAGTACTTATTAATAAATAATTGTTAGGCTGACAATACTTCAAACATACATTTTTAATCGTTGAAATTAGGACATTATACCAATCCTAACACCAATAATTTCAGATATTTATAGCCGCCTGTATACCAATAGCAGGCCCCCTGTTTCTCATGCGCTACACTAAAATCGGTGCGAGTTCTGATCCGGATTTGGACGGGCAGGTTAACCAGAATTTAATTATTGGGGTAAATCAAGCAGCAGCTATAGCAACAGCTGCTATAGCAACAGCTGCTATAGCAATAAAAGCAGCTATCTCCCTTGCTCTGCTTTTCTGCAATTCTAGCTGTAAAATTTCCAGAATTAAAACAACATTTGGGGGAGAGAATTTGGGCAAATTACGCAAACTTTGCACCTCCGCCCCCAAATGGTGATTCTGGTCGAATCTAAATGAAGCAACATCACATCCCCACTGATCATGTGAATCATGCTGTGAGGGCGGCTGTTTCACTATTATTGTACTGTAAAAATGGAACTTTATTGCTAGCTGGTATTTACTGTGTTTCTGCGAAGTTTATACATAGCTCTTGAAGCCCCATTTTATCATCTCAATTTGATCAATTGCTAAAAGCATCGCTTATTAGTTGTTTTGAAAACAAGCAAATGATTGTGTGTTGACTGTCATAAGATCATACTATGAATGAAGTGGGACGTAATTACCAAATATCACGAGTGAAATGAGACATAATTGTAAAATACCTGTTCATAACAAAGAATAACAGCCTCCTCCTTAGAACAAAGGTAAAGAGGATCCCGGACTGAAAGAAATGGATACCCAACTTGAGCTAGCCGCCCTGGAGAATGGCAAAGAAGGCGAAGTCGAGGTACTTTCACTTTCACTTTTAATCTCATTTAAGTGATTTCTCCACATTCGCTTCTTAACGTCTAAACGCGGTTGGAATTTGAGAGAGTTTATTAAATAGGCTTATTTACGGTTTATCATCGACTTAAATTTCAGACGGATGGAGGGCAAATTCCTGAAGAGATGATAAGAAAACGGAAGTTGACCACATGGGAAAAACTGTTGTATTTTTACAACGCCCCATGCGTGAAATTCCAATACCACGTGGTATGGTAACTTATTAATTCCAATAACTAGTGGTATGACTAGATCTGATGTATTTAAGAACCGACCAATATGATTGATTACAAAAATCATGATCATACAAAGTACAACTACTGTTCCTTTAAATTTTATGATATATACTTACTTAATGTACTTATAGAATCACTTTGAAAAGACGCGCATATCGTTAATAGGCCTGTAGGTCTAGCCGTCCTAGTATTAGTTCCACCAAACATTTCCACCAAACATTTCCATCACAATATATTTCTGCCACACATTTTAACCACACAGTAACCATACTCAAACATTTCTAATTCAGGTGATGTATCTCCTTTTCCTCGGTATTTTCATCTACACGCTTATCTTCGCTCGGCCCAACAAAAAGGACGAATACAATGAGGATAAAAATACCGACGGAGACTGGATGTCCGGATCCAAATACTCCGGATATGAGATATATCTTGTGTTGTACGTGATATCCACCATTCCCATCGAGATCATACAGGTGGGATGTCCGGTAGCTTTAAGGAATGTGCTTGTTGTTTCAAGAATGTGATAGTAGTAACTACAAATTTACATGTTTTAAAAAAGTGGGTTAACCTAATGCTATTATAGATATTAGTTTAACATATCAGTTTCATTAAGTGCTCTTGAAAAAGATGACAAATGTTTCAGGTCGTGGAACAAGTGCCGAAGACAATACGGATGAAACTGTGGCAATATTTGCAAGATTTGTTCAACATTCTTGACGTTCTTGGAATATTTTGTTTCCTGGGTGGATTCATTGTTAAGGTACGGAATACAGTTTCTCTTTCAGATACTATGAACATATATCGAATATTGTAGACATCTTGAGATATTTCCAATCGCAAAACGTTTACTTGCTCAAATGGGATTGTTATTTTCTGGTCTTTTGGAAATTATTCATTGTATCATCCGGCTGAAAAACACTTCCACCGACCGACCTTCAACTCTCCAATTTCAGGCTTTTGGTGACATCACCTTTACAGTACCGACTTCGGGTCCTCTGGAACTCCAGAATGCTCACCATTTACTAATGATACTGAGTTTCTTGATGTACAGCGTTCGCTTAATTCAGGTGAGCGTCGATCATCGAAATATAATTTGCTATCCATTTTGAGAACGAAGTTTCCAAATTTGTTGACAGTTACAAAGCAGTGGGTCCCAAAAGCTTTTGTGAGCTTTGAAAAATAACATGAAGATTTAAAACGATTCCAATTTCATAATATTAGAAAATAATCGGACCTTTTTTATCAGTTGTTCAGAATAAACTCCAACATGGGTCCTAAGATCATCATGATTGGCAAGATGATGATTGATCTGTTCTTCTTTATCTTTCTCATGATAATTTTCTTGATCGGATACGGCGTGTGCGCCCAGGTATGTTCATTGAGAATCCAATCAAATCATCTCTACATGGGTAATTAGGTAGCGTATGTTTATATTCTCTAATAATAGGCTCGTGATCATATTCACCTGACTGTTTATCATCTGACCTCAGAGCATCTGGCAGCGTTGTTCTCTAACAAAAAAAAAAAGCTAGGTTCTGATAAATTGGAAATAAACACTGTACTGTTTATTTGCAAGTACAGTTTTATTGCAAGTAGTAAGTGCAAGTTACCGACAGTAATAACCAGCACTCTCACCACTCATCGCACATCAGGCGTTGATGAACCCTAACCAAGGGCTACACAACCCTGACTCGATCAAATCAAACGGTTCAATAGTGTGGGATGTCATCTTCAGACCCTATCTTCATGTGTTCGGAGAACTGGATCTTGATGGGATGTACGATGAGCTCCAGCGAGGTAATTTGCTGTTAATTACCTAATTATAAATGGGCTGTCAGCTTTTTGCCCCTCTTCTCTTATTTGCGATACTTTATTTCCGTGTTCATAGTTCCTAGAGCAAGCTGAATAGTAGAAACAGGATAAAGCAAAATTAGATAAAACATCGTCAGTAACTCAAAACCAATGAATATTAGTTCACAGACTCAGATTTTCAAAATTGACTTATTCTTCAATATTTCTGCTATGTTCGTTTCATTTTCAACTTAGTATAATAATATAATTGGTTAACAGGTCACTGTCCCGTTGGAGATGAAACCTGCGATGCGGACACTATTAAACACGACCCCACTGGACAAGTCCACTACTACCTGGTCATGTGCTTGTTGTTTGTTTACCTGATGTTTGTCAACATCCTTCTCATTAATCTGCTCATCGCTATCTTCTCTAAATCGTTAGTTTTTTAATTAGATAAATAATTGATTGTGTAATTGATCGAGTTGAATAATAGTTCGTTTTATTAGCTGATAATTCATGCAATTATCGCTCCAACACGTGTCGTGAGTTGCTCCATCCTTGCAGGTATGAAGATATTCAAGCAGATTCAGACATAGTCTGGAAAGTACAGCGATCCCAGATGATCCAAGAGTACAAAGATTTCCCCATTTTCCCGCTACCCTTATCTCTGTTGTACCATGGTTATACCTTGGTACTGTTCATTTTCAAGTCTTGTATGGGACTCTGCCGAGAAGACTCGTTGGATGAAGGTTCGTGCAAAAATTCCCTTTATGATACCTTGACTTTTGAGCGTGCTTAGGTTTTTAGAAATTTGGTTCCCGACGAAGATAATATCAAATGTTGTTTTGATAAAATGTTCTCTACTAACAATGTCTCTAAGTCACACTTTTCTCCTAGATATTGACGAGACAGCAATATACCGGGTGAGTATGATAGAGGCTGAGAGTAGAGAAGAGTATCAGTCCAAGATGGAGGGGGAGGAGGAGATTTCAACATCTTCTGCTTACAGAGACTTGAAGAACGAGCTTGATGCCATCAAGACCATGGTATACACTTCACGTGACGTCATACTCCTCACGTGACGTCATACTCCCTCACTTTTCATAGTCCATATTATGTGAACAAAAGACTTAAAGTTCATATTATGTGAACAAATCTAGTGCGAATTACAGAATTCAGTTCTCTAAAAATATATATCCACACTTGTTAAACTACATCTAAATCTTTCTGAACGATGTAATAGTGTTTATAACTTTAGCTGTTTAGTCTGTTCAATGTTTTTGTCATTACTATTTTACTAAACCACTACCTCCAACAAGGTAAGACAGGGACCAGCCAGTTCGTCCTCCAATGGTCAGACCCCAAATCCCACGAACCTCCCCGACCAACCTCCCCGACCTCCACCAACTGCCAGCAAGGTAATTCTGCTCCGTGATGACGTCATTAGCATTTCGTGACGTCATCATTCTATCAGAAATCATCAGTGTTGTGTGACGTGTTTTTGGGTTTTAAGAATAACCGATAACGTATCTTTATCATGTGGTAATATAGCAAATTGTTGTCCTGCTTTCTGAAGCACAATTGAAACTAAAGCATCAATTCATAAGATTTGACTTTACTGAAGGTTCCATATTTATCTTAAGACAACATTGCAGCAAGCTAAGAACGGATCACGCCAGCAGCTTGATCGAACTATTTTATCGCGTGTAAGACGAAGTTGCAACTTGCAACTGTATGCTCTCATTCAAAAACCTCGCTGTTAAAATTTTATACTTCTTCTTCTTTTTTATAATTCTTATCTCGGGATTCTTTAGCAACTTCTCTTTATTCTTTATACTCCGATTAATTAATTTACTTCTTTGAATATTTTTCTTTTTGTAACCCATGTAAAACAAAACTTGCTTGATCCGACATCTACCGATATTAATCTAAATAAATTATTGTTGCAATAAATAAACTTGATCACTCTACCATCCTATTCTAAAACCCACATTCCTTTCAGTTGACGAAGACTAAACCCCTGAGGGTCCATATGGACAGCAGGAAGACCCCCTACCCTGGATCAGATGTTAAACGATTCATATTGTCTGATGAAAAGGTTCGTGGTTTTGGTTATTTCTTCGTGCGTGATCGGCGAATTCATTAATCTCACGTGACGTCATCACTCTCACGTGACATCATTAACGTGACGTTACGATTCAGGTTAGCTGGTTTGTGAGATATCCCGAATACCTCCCGGTGGACTACACATCCCCTGAAATAGCCGACCAGACGAGTGATATGGTGGATCCAGCTGAAATAACCCTCAAAACTAAAATTCAGTTCAACAAGGTTTGTTTATTTAGTATGGGCCGATTTATTTTGATGAAGACTTTCAAAATTGTTTTTGGTCATCCTGAACTAAATTCCAAACGCAAATTTAAACCCTATTTTCTGTAACACAATCACAGTCCTAATACAATATCATCTTAATAAAATATTCCCTCCAGATAAACTACTCGACAGTTAATAACAAACAGTGGACTATAGACAGGACCAGTCACCATGGAAAGTACAATGTTGTGGACGGTATACCTCAGTAAGTAAAAATCATGAATTTCTTGGAAATCTGGCTTATTGGTCAGGAGTCAGGTTGAACCTCAATCACTGGATTTCAATTAACTAAGCAGTAAACAACCGCTTTGAAATTGTCGAAGAAAGCTTATGATATGTAATGTTAGATCAAAACCTAAGTTGATTATTTAATTAATAATTATCTGATTAATTGATTAAGTTAACTAAATGTAATATCACAGGAACCCTAAAGGAAGGACTGGAGTGATTGGTAGAGGGTGTTTACAAAGGTGGGGACCCAACCACGCTGCTGATACTGTCGTCACCAGGTAAACTAGAACTTTCTAGAACACTCGAAATTATTAGAAATATTTCCTGGTACAATTGTGGTCTTGAAGTTTGGATCGTATTCATTAATTTTACTTCAAAATAAGGTCTGAGTTTTGAAATTATGTACATGCAATTCGATACCACCTAGATTAATGCCTTTTAAAATTGCTATTTTAAGCACTTTTTATCTTTAGAACACATATTCCCAAACTGTAACTTCCAAATTATCAACTTTTGATTATATTACCCAATTTCTCTTGCAGATGGCACAGAGACGACAGAGGAGAAATAATGAAGATTGAGGGGCTGCCTGTGCTGGAGTTTGTTGGAATATTTAGACAAGCTTTCAACGAGTGGGCTATACCTGGTTCGTACATTTCTATCATTACTCCAACCCTTTTTAAGACAATCCTGTTTAAAAGTTAATGATTTGATATTCAACACACCACTCTTCATAATAAAATTACAAATATTCAAATCAGGAATTTTATCACCAACTAACATCTCCCTCCAATGACCAGGTGGACGCTGCAAGCCTAACGAGCGGATATTCGAAACAATAAAACGAGAATTCAGCGAGGAAGCGCTGGCCAATCTGTCCCGACCAGCCACCGAACAGACCCGTATCTCTGAAATGCTGGCGGAGCACTTTAAATTGGGTATAACAGTTTACAAGGGCTACGTTGATGACCCCCGTAACACGGACAATGCCTGGATTGAAACCATTGCTGTCAACTACCACGACAGTACGGGTAAATCCTTCTCAAAGTTCCCCCTGCAATCCCGAGCAGGGATGGAGAGTGGTTCAGTGGGGGTTCAGTGGATCCCAATAGATCATAATCTGGACTTGTTTGCCAACCATGAGTGGATTATTGAGAAGGTGTGTTATCATCGGGATGCTTATAATCCGATTACGGAGCCTAAGAGGAAGGAAACCCAAGTTTGGATGACTGGATTGTGAGTTTTGTTTGGGTCGCAAGCGATCGTATGAATATTTGTTTTTACTGTCGGTATAATATCAGGATAGGATGCCTAAAGTTGCAATCGGACTAAAAACGTTTGCATGTAGAGTTTTTGAGCGGGCATGATTGTGCAAATAGATTTCAGAGGTATTTACATTTAAAGACTGAAAGTAAACACGATAGAAGTATGAGGTTGTGATGCTGAAAGCAAGGATTTTTATTTTATTTTAGATGAGGCTTAACTCAGATAGATTTTTCATCAGTTTCTTTTTTAACAAATACGATTAAGTTTAACATTGTCAGTTCAATTTACTTTAGCTTATAGAACTCCTGTATTGTGATTTGTGTTACGCGTGGATGTTATTATCATCATCAGATTCAGTTTTACTTTTTCTTTAAACTTAGCTAGATTGGTTTATATTAGAGTTTTAAACTTTCCTTTTTTACAGATTTAAAGATTAGAGTTAGAGTGATCATGATGAAAATAAATTATCAAGCCTATGTATGTTTTTACGAGCGTCGTTTAGCTCAAGTTGCATTATTAATTGTAAATAGTTTTATCGGTTATTTTGTAGGCTGTTCATATTTTGAGTTATTAGATACATAATGCATTCGAACTTGTAACTATAAATGATAGAAATTTGATTGTCAGAAATATGAGACCAAAATTTTGGGCTAGAACTAGATGAACTTTTAATCTTAAAATCTTGTGTTTTAAATTAATATCGATTGTCGATGAACATTTGACGATACAAGTTGCGTTATACACAGTACACACTACGCATGATACATGGGAAAATCTCTCTGTACGTATACAAACGAAATAATCAAACATATGAATACAATTTCAAGTTTTAATCATAGTCTTTCGAGCAAAGTAGACGACATAAAAACTTAAAATTTATACATTTCTCTTGCTTTGCATACAAATTCTGAATCAAATGATCACCTTTTATACTTATAAACATCCGAAGTAAAAATAGTTTTTAAATCAACCTGTGGCAAAGCTAACACAAATAAACATCATTACGACCCGGCTTCGTACGTGACTTTAAACAACCTACGATTTGACAGATATCGCTGTCTGGGCTTAAAAACAAAGTTTTGAGGAGACAGATTCTCAGAGTATTCCGTAACCTCCCCTCCAAATGATCTGCATTTCCTAACACAATTTGATCTCCCCTGCACCCGAGGGTTGTCCATGTGGTTGTTCTCTCCTACTGACCATCTGGCTTGATCCTGATACTCAAATTTGCCACTGTCTTCCTTCCTGGGCGATCTTAGCAATATATCGTTCCTGATGCTGGAATCACAGTATCGGTACCGTTCTGACCAGGTGCTTGATTTCTTCAAAGCATCAGATTTTGTGTAGCCGTAGGACTTGGGCAACAGTCTGGATAATTCCTGAGCTTCAGGAGTAACCGTTCTTGTAGGGGAGGGAGTGGTTCTGTGAGTCCACCCTGAAGGAGAGGATCGGGGGCTAGGGTAGAAGCTGGCAGTTCCACTGAACAGTTCAGGTATGGACAGTGAACTGGAGGTGCTGCTACTCAGGGTGTGGGCTCTTTGTTTCCGATCCGTCTTTTTCAGTAGGACGGGGATCCTACTTTTGGTTTTTGTGGTGCTGGTGGAGGTTTTGCCTTTTATTAAGTTAGTCGTGCTAGTCTGAGTGCACTCTGAAATTAGTGTCTTTCTGATGAAGTGAAGTCCTGGATGATCTGTGTTTGTTCCTGATGAAGTGTAACGGTTCACCGGGAAATCGGTCAGAAGTGCAGGTAAATCTATCCGTTCTGACTCTGTGTTGGATTCTTGATCATTGAGCTGGATATGCCTTGTGTTGCAAGCAAAATCACGGAATTGTCGTTCGTAAATCTCATGATCCTGAAATGATTGTGCTACAGTCTCAAATGCTTCATGCTCGTGTAAAGTGTTTTGTAATTCATCTGCATCAATGTCAGTCTCACATCCGATATCTCGTGTCATCCTGATACCAATTTGTAATCTTTTGATGACTGCATCCAGACGGAATAGTCCTAAGACTATGACTAAGAAGAGAGCCAGATAATCTGCAAGATCACGCGTGAGGAACGTGTTGTCTGCGTTGTAAAGTGACGTCATGACTATGCCACGTGGTGTTGAATTAGACATTTTGACTGGTGGTTCTTTTAGTTTTGTCAGAACCACTCTCAGAGTCAAATTGATATCTGCCCACTCATCATGATAGCTTCGTTGTCTGGGAAATAGAAAGGGAAACTTAGAACTAGAACTTCTAATTCTGATATGGAACTAAAACTTCCAACAATCAAACGTATAAAATTGACAAAAGTAACACTAAGATTATTAGATATGATCGAAACATGCAAAGCCTGGAAAAAACGGTGTTAATAAAATTAAATATATTGAATAATACACCGTCGTGGATACTTGTTTGGAAACTTATTCTAGAAAGTTGAATGAATATGTTTTACGTTAAAATTCTTATCATTCAGCAGAGGGAAAAGTCGTGAAAAGACTCATTAAATTACGCAACCTTGCAACGTCACCATTTTGATTTATGCTCCGGTTACAAAAACCGGCGCTTCCCTGACGAGTTGCTCTAAATCATTTAGGATCACTAAAACTAATACTAATACAGTCAAAACTATAGGCCAAAGAACAGTTTTAGCTACGTTAATTTCAAATCGTTTTAAGTCGATTACTGGGTTATCATCTGAATTAGATCTGCCAATCTTACCTTATAATCTTCTCTTCTCAAACTCTAATTTATTACTCTAACTCTGACCCTATTTATGCCTATCTGAGGTACTAATTTCCAACACTGGCCCTTTCCTTTCTATGTCAAAACCGTCAAAAAAGGCGGTTGGAACTGGAAGGGATCAGAGGCTGTGACCCATTAATTAATATCTTATGCTTCTATTTCAAACATTAATTCCTTTCGCTAATCTAAGTGTAATGTACACTACTTAATATTGATGAACCATGTGATTAATGTAAATAGTCCAGTCCCTTATACATTCTACAATACATGAAAAGTGAAAACTGACGTCAAAGTCATGCAACTACAAACTAAATTCTCACCAAACACTCATAAGCAGACAAACAAAACAATACTCATTATATCCACACCACAAGCCATACACGCGACAATTATCCCAGGAATACAATGAGTAATGCAAAAAATAAATGAATGGAAGGTGTATTAGGTTGAGCGCTTTCACTCTCTCTCTCTCTCTGCGCGAGGTCAATATAATTTGCGACTAGCTGAATATGGTCTAATTGTGGAGCAATATGATATCGGTACAACATACATGGTGTATTTACCAACCCGGGTAATAAAGATTGCAGCAAGTGGTAGATTTATCTGAGAGTATTACTATGAATGTTATTGATGACTCCAGATGGTGAATCTAGGGTCACGTGGGATGAACTGAAACATCTGTCAATGAGACTGAGACTTTCAGTAAGATCGAAGGGGTGGAAGTTGCAGAGTACAATACAACGAATGGCCTGGATTTGCAAATGAGCTCGTTCGATTTATGCGTGATGAAAATCATGCATAAGATTGTATTATGAATAAAATTAAAACCTAGGATTCAAAATAGTTGCCAATTTTTGTTCAATATGTTAAACATAAAGCTTTTTATTTGATGTGGTGGAATAGCGGTTCATAAGTTATTGTATAACGTATTTTTATAAAGAACCGGCCACTAGCTTATATTATATTATTGTATTGCATATTAATATAGGGCCGGGTGGTGTTACTCGGTGTGTGCACATATTATATTGTACTGTAAATGTGATACAAATTGGTTCGAAGTATTATGTTGAAATAAAATGCGATAAAATATAAGTTTCAGTTCAAATCGTAACGGTAATGATAACGCCTCAAATTGAAAAAATAAATTCACCTCTTTGCAAGTTCAATTACGAATGACGAACATTTTTCGGGGAAATTATAATCAATAATGTAATAAAATATATTCCACTCAAATGACGACGGAGACCTCTTATTGCTTATCTAATGTAAAATATTTTTAGCCGTTAAAGATTGAAATTTTAAAAGCTTTAATAATTTATCAACTTGAAAAGGCTTTCAAGATTTTAATCTTTAACGGTAAAAAGTACTTAACAATATTAATAAGGAAGAAGGAATAAACTAGAAAAGTTAAAAATAATGCCGAAATGTCTAGATAAGATTAAAGTGATCTCATGTTTGGTACAGTACAGTACTGAAGTGCTCCTAGTCCTACCAGTTTTTGTTAAAATTTTTACATAATTTACATCGTACAAAGAGGTAAAACTTTAAGAAAACTTTTAAAAGTTGCAGCTTGGTAATATATATATATATCATTCACATTGTAATTGTATTAGTAATCAATTTGGCTGTATTTAATTGCTCAGATATTTAAATATTCATCGATTAGACATTTTGCATGATCAAAGATTACGACCGAAAATTTGTAAATGTTCTTTGATGTCAACAAAAAACAACACGACAACAGCTCCGTCCCTCCAAAAATGATCCAGTTAATTAAAAACACCGTGTGTTCAGAAACTCCTTTCTCCTGCGATAAGCCCTGAGTTTATCTTTAATTCCCCTCCGATCCCTAGCTTATACTGGGCGGCGCTCAGCCGGCTGTCATTCCGCCGAATCTCTATTATGTTTATGAACATTATAGCCTGGGATCCCCAGGTAATGTTTATGAATCCCCAGGTATTAGAGCTTTTCATCCAAACAAGTAAAAACGAATCTTTTATGTCATGTTTCCAGGATTTGGACTGGAATTGCCCGCTTAAAGAACTTCCATCGCGTTACATTACATAATTTTCTCAATAAATGTAACAGATTTGTAGTGTTGTAATTAGTTTAAAGTATGTTTATGAACATTATAGCCTGGGATCCCCAGGTAACCTCCGTCCAGTTCCAATTTTCCCATGATGCACCAGCTCTGATCCTCGACTTCGACCCTGATGTACAGGTAAGAATACCCCGATTCTTGTAAGTTTGTACAAAATTAAAAGCATGATCGTGCACTGCCATACCATGACATTCCAAGGCCGGCCGTTTGCAGGGATATGATCGCTGATCAGTAAAACCATCTCAAAACCAAATATAATCACGACTACTTACTAGCGTTCATTGGCACATTGTACACACAACTGACACGATGGATCCTTATTAGACGTCTATTGCAGTGTCCATTTATCCAATGAGCGGCACTAACAAGCTCTAATAATCGTATAATTATATGACGATTGTATTTGTATTCACTAATCTGACTTAATGACTTAACTGACATTATCTGTTTTCGGAAACAGGGTTACAAGACACCTTGATTAGATTTTCAGATGCATTCAGCCCCTCAGGTTACATCGTCAATTGAACCTGATCAACACTCGTTTAATTGTTTACATAACTAATAGATTAACAATCTAACACCTTGAATTTTTTTTTGATACCGCTCCCAACGGTCAAACCCTTTATGGGTAAAGATAAACTGAAATACAATACATAGCATGCAATTGAATAAATGAATAAATCATCTATAAAATGTGTTAATTGAAACTATAATCATAAGCATACTCTCCATAAAGTGGGAAAACAGCATCAATAGTCCAATGTTCATATTATGTTGTTTAAAATTTAATGTTTATTGTCTCGTGTCTATCCCGGCGTTGTGTGCTAGGAGGCCAAAATCGTCAGTGTGGAGTGAAGATGTCCTCTTCCACGGTGTTCTGGACCCTCTAACTAAGACTTGTCGCTGATTGGTTCTTCCGTTTGGAATTTGGCGGGAAAACTTTAGTCATGTATTGATTTTATTGGCATTTGCAATTAATTAAAATTAAAATTAATTGCTTGATCGGCCAGGGATGAAATTTCATCCGGGAATGAAATGTTACAAATCCAATGGCTTGATTGTCATGATGAATATTGGATATTTGATAAAGATGATCACAAGTCAAACAACCGTATACTTTATCAAAGAATTGAGCAAATATACAAAACATCAATCATGATCAAACTTTGCTGTTTCTTCTCTCACAGAGCCAAATATCAGAGAATTGTTGAGCTTTTCTATCAATATCTCTAAAAAAAACAATACCATCGACCATGATATCGTAAATGCTCCTTATCATGGCGGTCGAGTCAAAATTGATAAAAATCAAAACATTCACAGCAAATATGGATTGATAAATGAAGAAACATCTATGTACTCGCTTAAAAATCCAAAATTTAACTACTTTCTCTAAAGTTGGTCAGTATTTCGTTCCATGGTCAAGAGATGAAATACGCAGTTTAATAAATTAAACAAATTTTAAAACAACCCTACGTTTCTAAACTAATGCGTCAAAGTTAAAACAGCCTGCACTGATGCTATTGTGGAGGCATTTTTCTCTTATGGAAGGGCAGGGCAAACAAGAAAAAATGGATCTCGAGCCGAAACCCTTATCTCATTTTATTGTTAACCGTCATAGGTCGCATTAGATAACGTTTTTACAGAGTTTGATAAGTCACTACATATCAATGTTACATTTTGCAAAATTCATGTCACTATCTAATTTAAAAGTTCCAGCATATTAGCAACATACCAAAATTCCTTTTACAACAAACATTAAGAAAAGTCACACTAAAACTCCCAAAATAAAAGATACCAAGAATCTTCGGTAAAACGAGTCTTTAAGCTCTTTGTATAACTCTGTTCCTTGTTCAGAACTCTATGTCGCCGACTGCTAGGCAACAGCATGGCTATCAGCTAGTAATATCAACTTGCGAAGCACAAAGTCCAGCTTTGTATGGAAGGTTGCTTTTTCTGCAGTATATTCATTGGCGGAAGCCCGAAGCCGTCTTTCGTCTTATTCTCTGTGGCGCTAGTTCCACTAGCTCCCTTAAATCAACTCATCATATAAAACAAACAACTATTGCTTATTTAGATGATTTTGGCCTCCCCTTCGCCATTTCGAGTAGGGCCCACACACCATCAGCTGATTTCTTATCGATAATGATGCTCCTCTTTTGTCCCTGTGAACTCCTCGTTGTTCTAGGCTGTTTGGTCGGGAGTTGCTCTAGGGGCGGCATTTGTTCAGGACTCGACTCACTGAAAATAATAGTATTGTTAGATTTACGGGATTCACGATTTACAACACAGTACACACCTATGAACCCCTGTGGCATTGTACGTACTAAGTGCATACGAAATTCAAGTCTGATTCAATCGAAGACGAGGTGTGGTGCTGTGCCTGAGGGTTTCCCGCGCTAGGAATTAGCCACAGCATGTCCTAAAGCATGGGTTGCCCTTAGTAACTCACAATTTGTGCGCGTCTCAAGCGCGCAATTGTCGTAGTGGGCAATGTAATCTACGTGGTTGCGATAAGATAACGTAGGTGAAAACTAGCAATAGGATGGCACTGCACTCCTATCCATGTTTAACCATGATGCAATGTTAATTAGCATACGCCCAAAAGATCAGTTAGTGTCATAAATGACTTCAACAGATACACCATGGTAACCATAACAGATCATTAAGATTTCAATCGAGCGTATAATCGAACTCGGAAAGCAACAAATTGAATCATTGGAGATGAACAGGATTTAATCTGAACTCGAAGATATCGATAATAATGAGATGGATTGTCGTTAATAGTTATGTCTTACCTCGAGGAAGGATTGTTCGAAGTAGACGGAGTCTCGGTACCATTTGAGGCATCTGAGGCTGAAAAAAGACAATGGTCAAGTCACATCAAATAAACTACTATATATAAGTAATTTACACATTAAAAGACGACCGCATCTATTGACAATAGATCGCCGAGTTTCTTTATCATTTTCCTTATTAATTGACGTTAAATGTTTCTTTGATGGAATGTATCTTTAATCTTATTGTTATCACAGCTGGCACGATAATAATACCGGCGCCTGGAATGTTTAGGATAACGACGCCCATCTTTACAATTCACAACCATATGTCATATATTTGATTGACGACAAACCACATCGCGAACACTCTGACCATAATATAATATCCATAACACATTGGTCGTCAACGACGTATTAATTACAGGATACCCAACATGCGATATAACATTTGGTTGCTTATTAAATAGACTAAAGTCTGGGGGCTGTGTGAAGGGACCTCTAATATATTATAGGAACATACCAAACAGCTCCAAATGGTCTGTAAAGTCACGTGATGGCTTAAACGTCCGGCCCTTAGGGTGTACAAATTAACCGACCAGGCAACGTTGTCAAGGATGGGGCTAGCGTTGCCATAGCAACCGCAAAACTCATACAATTATCTAAATATTAATGAGTCAAAAGGGGGGAGGGAGGACTAGCACATGTATATTTATCATATCCATATATTCATGTGAGTGTATTGATATATATGTCCAGAGGGACGGAGGATGTAACAGATTGATTCAGAGATAGTGAGGTTGTAGATAATGGCGTGATTGTTGAATAATGAATATTATACAGAATAATTACCGTATTTATAACTATCTTTCGTGGTGTGATTACTGAAATTATGTGTGATTATTGTGGATTGAATGTTGCTCTATACTTACAGTTACGAGGGGTTCCGGCGTTACGTTTCATCAGGCACAAAGCTTCTGCTGCTGTCTCCTCTTCTGAAAATAATTATAGTTAATTCTCTGTAGATAGCTTAGGATTCTAACTGTAATTATCGGAGATTATATCGGGGGTATTGCAGGTGATTAGGATAAGATCAAATTTGAGAGACAGAGCGAATGATAAATGAGCGATAAATTATCACTCTGACGCATATAAATTCTTAATATCGGGAGAACCAGTATTACAGATATGACTGATGAATTTGTGACGCTAAAACTTAACATTTGTCGCCGTTATCCCATTTTACAGGAGAACACATTAGCCACGAAATTTAAGAGCAGGTTTACTCAATTCCAGTTCTTTTTTAAGTCAGTGATTCTCCGGTGGAAGGTGACAAGAGATTAAGCGGCAAGTTTCTAATGACAGAAAATCGTTTTTAAAGTGCAACTCGGCGCTCGCGGGAGTTTTCTGTATTTTCGCACCTCGCAGCCAGATATTGGGTATCAAGACACAGATAATCATCGATATATATCTTTACCTCCATTACAGGGCCCGGGTACCTAAACCACATTATTATACGGGGACATAACCATCACTACACTGATTATACCATCTTGGCGATTAATTACACCATCATTATAATCCAATTAACGCTATGACAGTGCCCGATGTGTCATCACCTCCTATGAGGAAGGCCTGGGATTGGTCTATAACGGTCACGTGGGCGTTCTGCGGTGTTCTGATTGGACGACATAGTGAGGTGTTGAGGTGTAGTGCGACACACACAGACTTGTGCATTGTTAGGTATTTGTATCGTAGAATATACACGGATACATTAGGGAACAATACACTGCGCACTGCTGTATTTTCACTGAGAAGGAAGAGGAGAAAGTTTTAAATTATGGGGGATTTTGTCAATTTTTGTCTGGTTTAAGACCGGCAACCAGACCGATTCTCAGGATTTTAGCCAGGGGAACTCGATTTCCAATTTGCTGGCGAGGAATGATCTTGCCGTGTTAACTCTTTGTTATTGACTACAGTAAATAGTAATGCCACCTTAGAACTTTTACAAGTTAGATTTCTTAAAGTTATTCATGGGGTTATATATGTAAATAGTTGGGAATGGTCAGGAACGTATTATGTAAAATCTAATAAACATGCAAATGAAATGTGAATATTCATAAAAATTGTTAGGAGTGGTCGTATTACGTTATTGCTGCAGGGGGACAAGAAAATGGCACAATATATTTTGGTTTATCAACATATATGAAATATGAGGACGGCAAAATGAAGTATGAAGACGGCACAGTAATAAAATAAACATATTAAAATATTATTGACAACTACTCAGTCGGCGGGACTAATTTTTGAAGAATTTGGCCCCTTTTGTTGTGCTGATAACCTGGTACGTTTAACCAATATGAAAATGGGGCGGGCCTTCCAAAAAGTCTGCCGCCCAACCAAAGTAACAAAATTGCAAGTATTGTTTTCCCTTGATTGGTAATGAATACAAATGTTGTATGCCCACCTTATTAATTTTGTATGGAACTAATTAATTTAAAATATGTACGTTTGACGTTTCTTACCAGTAGTAGAGGGGTTGAAGACGCTGGTAGGCGAGGAGGGGGGAGTATGAAACAGAGGGCTAGTCGGAGGGGTGATATTCTCACTTCCTGGAGATAAATTAATGGTTAATTGGATAATAATTAGCAAATAGAATATTAGATAGTTGATGATGTATCGGCTGGGTGTTTTGCAATTCGAAACCAAAAGTAATATGGTGGTTCCTTTTTTGGCAAATTACGTGCTCACCGGTACAAGAGAAAATGTTTTGCTTTTGGTACTACGCTTTTTAAATAATGCATACCAACATAACTTTGTTTTCAGTACTTTTACTTTACAAGCATCATCAATAACAGAGAAAAGAAATTTCTGGAAAATTCATGGAAATAGAGCTGACCTATAGGTCCAGGAATCATGTTTACGTTGCCAAGTTTCTTAAACGCCTGGATGAGTTCAGGTCGCAGTTCCGGATCAACAGTCCACCAACTTCCTTTACCACACTCCTGTAATTAATTAATCAATTAGTTGATTAATGGCACGTGAGTTGACCAGAGGATGTTTTATTTAGACTCCCACCGGAGATAATTATCAATGAAGGTGTGATGAAAAAGAGATATTGAAGCGTGAAATGTGCCCAGGGATACGCTGCAACGGATAATCGAATGTCAACAGAACTTAGGGAATTTAGGGTTCAACTTAACCTTCGTGTGAAATGTTGAGATACAAGTGGAATTAAAATATTTCCACCGTCTTAAATGTATTCTAGATAACTCAAAATACCGTCAGGTCTACGACCCATAACCTCCGAGCCGTAGTGATTGACCCGATAAAGTATGGACTATCACCCTAAAAGGCTCGAGTTTCTAGAGGAAACAGCCCTTGGACTACGGTCACAATAGAACCGAACACGTGCGGGGCCTTGACATTCCATGAACCATGTTACCAGTCTACTTTGAAGTAAAATATTGCTATCAATACACGAAACCAATACGTTATTAAACATTGGAAATCTAATTACCTCCAAATATACGTGATAAGGCGTCATAATGTACGTGATAACCAGAGATAAGGGACCTGATGAATTGTTTACGTCTAACTTCCACAAAACGGTTATAAAACCACAACTTTTGCTCATTTTTCGTGGTAAATCCATGGTTAATATGGGCCCGATATTATAGGCTACTCAACCACGAGTACATATGAGTGCCGATAAGTCACACCCACACACATTTGACCCTCATTCAACATCCTCAAAATAGAAAATGATTCTAACTGTAATTCTCATGATCTTCCTCAGAGGTGTTAAGGACCTCAGGTGCTAAAACGGTGTTGCAAAACCATTCTGTAATTACAATAATTAGACCTAATAATTTCACCAAAATTTTACCCAACCCAGGCCGCTTACAATCTCCTTTCCATCAGCTCAGCATGGTTGGGAGCGGTACAGTAAAAGTACACAGCCTTTTCACGCCATCTGGTTTTACCACAGTTACCATGGCAACAACCATGTCCTCCTCTGCAGGTGTGTTATCAAATATAAACGTTAGCGACACTTTTCTACCTGCCAATAAGTATAATCTGATCGATTAGATCGGGGCTCGCTCCGTCTTAATGGTGTCTGCAAGGAGAGCTGTGCTCCACTTGACTATTATTATTGTGAGAGCATACTCGTGATCAGCACAACAAAAGCCTGATCTCCCATTTGATAAACATTGCAATATGAAACTGGCATCTGTTTATATAATTGTCAAAGAAATCCCTGATTAAGTGGTTAAGTGAAGCAGTGTGTGATTAGATGATTGTGAGATGGGTTGGGTGTCAAAGGGCGGAAACTTCATGGTTTGTTCCAGTGATAAGAAGATCAGGATTCAGGGGTTGGTATGGAAACCGGTACAAAGATTACAGATGTAGAGAGTGATACATGTGCGGGGGTTCTGAGTATTTGAGTATTTTAGAAACAAGAGGAGGATGATCGCGTACTCAGCCGATACTCAGCAGATTTCGATAATTAATTACGGCAAATTCTTGAATCATCTTACGGAGCTCGGGACGACGCGTGCTGGTACTAGAGGCTATTGATTCTCTCTTATCACTTATTATCTTTCAGATGATGGGATTTTCCGGTCGCCAATTAATGAAGGCTTCATTATCAGTTGTCCATATTGTGATATATAATCTTCACGGTAACAAAAAAAAAGAAGTTTGTGTTCGTTTTATACCGTACAAATTAAATATATCAAGGTACAATTTGGTTGATTCCATGGTTGATTACCATGGAAACTTTAATTGTAAAACCCCGACCTATCTGTCGTTGATTGTAATAATTAGACGAATCGTGTACAGACACCAGATTTTGTTAAAACCAGTTATTCTGAGAACTCCGTGGCTAGGCTTTTCATTACAGTAGGACAATACGTGTTAATATAGGGGGCTTTCAATACATCATTTTCACCCAGTAAGTGCTGATGAGTGTAAATTCTTTTATATCTTATTGGATAATTTTTCAAGGTCTGAATGTGATCACTGTCTATAATCTACTGTAATTTTATTTGTGGTATTTATGTAAAGTTGTAACACAAACAAAACATCAATAATATTATTACAAATATTCGGGCTATAAACTAAGGTCATTGCCACTGAACTGTGAACTTTCACGACGTGATTTTAACTTTAACAAAAATTACCAACAAATCCATCACATCAAGGATGTATCACTTCACTCTATTATTATCCGTGTTTATCAAAATATTTGGGTGTTTTATGCAATAATTAGATTTCTCCAGGTTACAACCTCTTTGATACATCTACCGGGCCTGGAGAGACGTTAAAAAGTGTAATTTGTTTGGTAACCTTCCCCTCAAAAAACCAAACAATACCTCAAACAAAGTCTATCACTAATTCAGCGCCCACATATTTTGTCACGGCGCCCAGTAATTGACCGGGTCTATATTTATACAACCTCCACAAATATTTCAATCAACAATAACCCCAGTCAACAAACGATTACCCGGACTTCAGATTAAAACCTCAAATATTTCAGGCCATCTTCCCCGGAACCCATGCGGACAGACCAAGTTTTGAAGGATTTCGTTAAACTCTGTATTAGACAGGTCTATACAGACACTGGATTTGGTTATCCTCTCACGGGGCTACTTCCCTAGTAGCATACTCCAGCATTGAACTAAATCCTGCACAGGATAATTCAAATTCCGATCATAACCACGGGGCTGAGGTTGATAATAGGATAATATCAGCCTAGACGGTATATTGTAAGATTTTACCAGGGTCTGATCATATATAGGACTTTACTAGTCTGTACATTAAAGTACTAAACCACAGGTAACCTGATTGAAGGTTCTCTGTTGGTATAACAACCAGAGCGGGTTGCCATAACAACACAAGTCACACTCACCCACTTCCTAATTAGACTCAATTACTCCCGTCCAATCATATCAGAGGGTTTGCACCACGTGACCCAAGGAAACCAATCAGATTAAAGCTTCAATCGGCAGGGACCAATCGTAATTAATTATAAGTCGATCTGTCAATCAATGTACGTCTAGACTTACCAAATGACAGCTTCTATTCAACTAAACATATATCAAGCTCCTCTATTGATACAATATTCTAACAGGCCAAACCCGGATCCATTGTTCACCTACCAGGCCTCTCTTTCTGGTCACAAAATCCTGATTATATCAGGCGTCTCAGAATAAGATCCATGGGAATTTGGCAAGCAGACTCCCCACCCAAGACCACATACCTATTTATGTAATGGTAAGCTAAGCTCCCCACCCAAGACCACATACCTATTTATGAAATGGTAAGCTAAGCTATGGCTTCTGAAAACTCTCGGTATCACTCATATCCAACTTGTTTGATGTCTATTCAGACCACCTCCCCCAGCTCTACATCTAATAGGATCCTAGTACCCACATCCAAAATAATAAAAAGACGGTATAATAAAAAGACGGCAGATCGGCAGATAATCTGCGAGGAAATTTGGTGCAAAAGAAGACATATTTGTAGAACATATTTTTAGCGGGGAAACATTGATCTGCCAAGAAATTTCAAACTTTCTAGATGTGGGAGGTAATACACGGCTAGCTCTCTTATAATGAGATTCAGCGGGTGTAACTACGATTATGGTGAACAAAAGCAGGTACCAAGTGCATTGTACTGAGTGTTGGTGTATTGTGCTGAGTGAGTGTGTGTGTGTGTGAGTGTGTGTGTGTGTGTGTGTGTGTGTGTGTGTGTGTGTGTGTGTGAGTGTGTGTGTGTGTGTGTGTGTGTGTGTGTGTGTGTGTGTGTGTGTGTGTGTGTGTGTGTGTGTGTGTGTGTGTGTGTGTGTGTGTGTGTGTGTGTGTGTGTGTGTGTGTGTGTGTGTGTGTGTGTGTGTGTGTGTGTGTGTGTGTGTGTGTGTGTGTGTGTGTGTGTGTGTGTGTGTGTGTGTGTGTGTGTGTGTGTGTGTGTGTGTGTGTGTGTGTGTGTGTGTGTGTGTGTGTGTGTGTGTGTGTGTGTGTGTGTGTGTGTGTGTGTGTGTGTGTGTGTGTGTGTGTGTGTGTGTGTGTGTGTGTGTGTGTGTGTGTGTGTGTGTGTGTGTGTGTGTGTGTGTGTGTGTGTGTGTGTGTGTGTGTGTGTGTGTGTGTGTGTGTGTGTGTGTGTGTGTGTGTGTGTGTGTGTGTGTGTGTGTGTGTGTGTGTGTGTGTGTGTGTGTGTGTGTGTGTGTGTGTGTGTGTGTGTGTGTGTGTGTGTGTGTGTGTGTGTAATGGGAGGTATTTGTGTAGAGGTATTCGCGGTATTTCGTGATACTGTACACTTTACACACCTGCTTCTAATTACCAGATCTGGAGGTTTATTTGCGGTTTTTCAGGATTTCGTTTAAGAAAACTCTTGTTTTATTGACCCACCGGTGCAGTGGTTATTAAGTCACGGCTCTTTTGTTGAGCAGCAACTTGTGGTAAACTGGTAAAACTAGTAGGGTGACTAGGCATTAGTAATCGCTGACCGGGGCTTAATCATCTAGAAAAAGCGATTATACAGCTGAATACTGAGGATCAATGTTCAACGTACTTTTACAACTTTCATGAATAGTACCTACTTATAATTAAACCTTAATCATACTAGACAGAGTCAAATTAATGGTCAATAATCTTCAACATACACCTAAACATTATAGTGGCTAATGATTGGTTAATTCGTCTACCTAGAGCACTTAATCGTTCGTTAATTGAGGGTAAAAGTTGAGAGATTATTATACCCACCACGCGCGATCAGCCTAGATGACTCAATACATAAGCCAAATCAGGGAAAACTCGTCGTACATGTCAAGAGAAAAGAAATATTAGTTTGCCGCGGGAAAAACAAACTTCCGATATAGCCAATATCGGTGATACACACATCAGTACGGGAAAAACCAGACATTACTTTATGACGTTGTTAATTTCATATTCTCTCGAATTTTCTGTACACCAGAGTTTTCCACACCATATTCAATAAGGCA